GAATCGTCAGATTTCACTTCAAGTTTTCGTAATAATTCTTACCTTTGAATTATTCTCTGAATTATCTTGCAAGTATCCCTATAGTTGCTTGGAAATTCTCATCAAATTCATTCATTATAATTCATAAGCTGTAAAAGTTTTGCAATGTCATTTTATTTAATTTTGGTTCTTCGAAAATATTCAATATCCGTTCGAGATTCTTGAAAATTTGTCCAATTCTGATTTTACTAAGTCCAGGATTTCAGAAATTATGACCTAAGAAATTTTAAATGTGCCAGAAACATTTTGAAATACGGAATTTCCCATATATAGGGAAAAAGATGTAATGTCGGCCTAAATGCCCCTAATTTGGGCCTATACATAAATTCAGCAATCGACTAAATTTTCAATAGCGACCAAAAATATCCATTAGTACGCGTTCATCTAGATAAAATTGATAAATACTAGATTTTTTTTTGTGATGGACCCAATCTTAAATCCATAGGGCAACATTAGAGCCATTTTCCCTATGAGTTATTTTTGAATCATCAAAGCTGCTTATGTGTCAGAATCAGTGCTGTAAATTCTCAAAATCAATTGAGCATTTTCGATGAAAATGTGAAAAGCAGCTATTCGCTATCAAAGGGGACCTCCTTCGAATGGGTGATATCAGTTGCTTAGTCATTTGTCGAAGGTATGGATCATTCTTATTTGAGAAACGCTTGCTATCATTCAATTGAGTGATACATATAAACGGAGCTCTGGTCGAAATTCCGGCGAAAAATCTAAGCCAACCCGACACCAACCTGACTTCTATCAAACCCCAACCCGAGTTTGATCCGACATTGACTCGACATAATCCCAAAATTGACCCGACAACAAAACGACATTGGGTCAACATCGACCTTAAATTTGCCTTACATTAATCCGACATTGGGTAGACTTGTCTTGGTTTCTTCCATACTCCACTGTCGTATATCAAATGATAGTGAGTGACTCAATTGACAGTGACAGAAAAGGGCTCTTCAAATTATGGTCATGTGAGAATTCGTTTTCACAGAATTGATTCAATGGTTGTATTGGTTCATTTTCAATCGAATGATATGAAAATTAACAGCACTGATCAGAATCATAGATATTTCACAATGTCCGAAATATTCGTCTGTCGTTGATACATTTTACAAGTCCTGAAAATTAAAACAAACAACTCTCCAGATCTTGATGATTTTTTCCTAATCCTGAAATTCTTTATAGAACGCTCTTTGATTCACCCAGAAATTCTCATAAAAGTTTTTAAATTTCTCGCCGTATTACCTAGGAATCCCTCAAAGAATTCTCCTGAAAATAGCTCTCCTCAGTATTAGCTAAGTATTCTTCCAAATTCCCATGGAATAATTTTCAGTAGGGTTGAGAACTACTTCGGCCTAATCGCCCATTTTGGGCCTATCGAGCAGAAAACTTCAAATAAATCCATGATTTCAGAGTTAACAAGTCAATTTGGCACGATACTTTAGTTAATAAGCTACGAAACGAAGTCAATGAGAACGCGTGATATGAAGGTTTGCATCCATTATTCCCAAAAACAAAAAAAGCGCTTCGACCGAATCAATTTTTATCTTCATCCGATAGGCCGAAGTGAATTCATTGGCGTTTCAATGCGTTAGGCCGAGTTTAGAATCCGTAGGCCGAGTTTGGCGTCAAGAATTTTGACAATATCTCAACGATTGGTTTCTCTTTATCAAATCTTACGGTACATACGGAAAGGTAAATACATTTGGAAGCCATGAGTAATAATAACATTCCGTTTGGTGCTAAACTGCGCTAGATTAAGAAAGACTAAGTGCGGGTTGTGCTTAATAGGCCGGAAATGGGGTAGTTAACCCTATGTTCTCTATATTTCCCTTGGAATTCAAGGAACTCTTCTTTGAGTTCTCTAAAGATGATAACAAGAACAACCTTGAAACTCTCCATAGTATTCCTTTGAAATTTACCTAAAAACTTCGTAGCAAATTTCCTTGAAACTTTCGTAAAAATTTCTTTGAAATACTACTAAGCGTAATTTTGGAATTATCCTCAGAATTTTAATTGAATTATGTTCAGAATTCCTTTTGAATTCTGCTTACAATTACCTTGGATTTGTTCTTAGAATTCACCTTCAGTTTTTCATACAAATCCTTTAGGAAAGTCTTAGCCAAATTATTTTGCAGTTTTAGTCCGAATTCTCTTTGAATTATCTTTGGAAATGCCTTGGAATACCTTCTCCGATTTGCTTGAAGCTTTGAAACATTATTTGCTATGGGTTATCATTCACATTTTGAAAAGAATCAGCCATTTTGGATTTGACATTTTTCAATCAATTGCAGCACGAAATCGTAATTTCTGATCGGAATGACTTCTGAGACAAATTTGTTTAGCAAAGTAAAGTCAACAGACAAACAGACATAACACATTGCATATTGTTCATTGTAAAACATCGTCGCTAAAACACTACCGTTATCTATTGAGAAATCCAACTTAAACTCCTGCGCGCCTGGTGGCAGGAATATGCACTAACCGACGGTGATAAGTCTGTGACAGCCCTTGACAATTTCATTGATTGTTTGCAAAATTGTTTAATTTCAATGTAATTTCATGCAAATTTCTTGTCAGCATGGATGAACCTTGTACAAAATACATAAAACTATTTTGTAATGCATTGTTCCTAAATAAAAAGCTACTTCAAGACAGTTAAATTACACAAAACATGTTAAGGTTTGAAGTCATCTGCCGATTAAACAGCAGACAAAGTTGGCCGACTAAATCCATCGACGAAAAACTATTAAATAGGCCGATTGCTCGGTGTAGCACCAGACGGAAAACGATTTAATCTGCTGATTAATACACCGACTGAAATTAATTTTTAAGTGGCAATAGATTTAGTCGGTGGACGAATCGGGTGATATGGATGATGTTTGTTTATTTGATAACACGATAAAATTCAGAATTATATACCATTATTACGAGTACTATTTTTTTGCTCGGATCATGTTTTGACTCCCACAGAAACTCGCTAGAATAAATACAAAATAATAGTTTTTTGGTTGAAATTTCAAAAATGTATTCAGTTTGACACATTATTTCGGACTTATCACCGCTGCGATTGCAGCGCCACGGTGGCCGATTGAAACTTGGATTTGTCAATTGAGCACACTGTGACGGGCAGTACGCTCAACGGATGGCCGTAGTGTGTAAACGTCAAACGCAAGGGAATGGACCATGCGCACCACAATCGGTGGTACTACCAACTAAGAAAAAAAAAACAATTTACGGGTCTGTGGTTTTATCGTTCAAAGCCATGTTGGCGATTTTAAAAGCTTGTGATTTATAAACACATGCAAACGCTTACAGAAGTGAGAGTTTTTTTTTTTTTGCAACTACTAAATGAATGAAATTTTAATAGCATAGTTATGCAGAAATTTCTGTTTCATTTGTATGGGAGCCCACCCCCCCTTACAAGGGGGGGGGGGTCTCGAACCTTTCCCAGCCCCAAAAACCCCAACAAATTTTCACGCCGATCGGTTCAGTAGTTTCCGAGTCTTTAAGGGTCAGACAGACAGACAGAAATTCATTTTTAAAAATATACATTTGTTATTTAATACAGATAATTATTATCAATGTGCAGGCGCAAAGTTTACAAGTGGTGCTTATATTTTAAGCTTTAATTCGCGAGCAGTGGAGAGGGTCTGATTCAAGTCCAATCCAAAGATTTTCAAGCACAGGTTCAGGGGACTATTCAGTCAAGCCCTGTTCACTTTTGAGGTAAATGCATGCGACAATTGTCTGATGACAATTCAACGCCTTCTAAAGAAAGCCGGATTTGTAATCGAACAGTGAGATTAAGCAGAGGACAAAGGAAGTGTCTGTTTCAGCATCAATTAGTAGCTATACAACACTCTTATGAATATTCAAAATGGAGCTCTTCAAACGGTGAAACATTTCGACACTTTGCTAAGGAATTATTCCCGAGTCTGAGAGCAGTTCTGGCGGTACGCCAATCTAAATCGTGCTAAGCTGTTTAAGTGTCAGCATCAAAATCACCTCGTATTAAGAATCCTAGAAATCTCAACCAAACGCACAGCAGCACTTTCTGACTATTCGAATCCAATCGGTGTTTTGGACAGAAGTAACGAAAATATACAGTGAGAACAAAGGAAACATTCGACAGCAAATAAAATATAGAAAACAGCCAATTTCTTCGCACCTTACAGTCTAACAATGAACGTTCAGACGTTGGAATTTAGAACTAGTTAGATTAAAATAGGTGTAATAATATAACAAGGAAATGACAGCAATGATGCAACGGGTATTACAATACTGAAAGGGCATAAACTGAGAACTGAGCGAGCAGTTACGGAGCAAAGCCGTGAAATGTGTTTGTTATTTGGAATTTACCTTGAAAGTGGGAGGAGATCTTCCCGAGCAGGGACGGAATCGCTTTGCTCAGGCTAAAGTTGAACAGTGCGTTCTTCTTCAGATCAGTGGGTAGGATCTTGGCCTTGAGACTGTCGATCCGTTTGAAGGTGGAATGAAGTGTGCAGTTGCCTTTTATTGATTTTGTTTCAAATGTCGCGACCGAAGAGCGTTTTTGATAAATGTAGTGTTTTGTTGAACAACGGTAATTGGAGATGATTGAAGGTACATTATCACACACACGCACACAGGGAAAAAGAAGATAAGAAAAAAGGTAACCGAAATGTTGTATCGTTTTGAAACTGTGGAATTTTGAATTTCGATTTGTTTTACTTAAATTGTTTGCTGTTCTGGTTTGCTTTTCCCTAGAAAGCAGTATTCAAAACGTACGATGTTTCTTACGCTTTGAAACGTTTTTGGCATTACTAACACAGAAGTTGGATATGGTTATATCGAACAATTATAGCCACACAAATATACAACAGCTAGGAAATTGTTGATTGATTTTTCGAAAACATCTAATCATACGAAGGAAGCTACGACAAATCTGACTGCTATCAACAGTCACTTACCTTTGTCTTGTCTCTCGTTCTGTCGTTTGCATCTTCCTATTTTGATAAGTTCAATTAAAAATTGTGCGACGTTGTAGTGTTTCTGCGGTTCGCCTGGTAACTTTAGCAGATTGATGATTTCGGCAATCAAATTTTGCTCGTTAAGCCACTGAAAGGAGAAAATCGGTTAGTATGTATCGTTTTATATCGATTTGAACCGATTTATTTTTACCTCCAGTAGTTCCGATTTGAGCTCGGCGTCTTCGATATCGGTGATGTAGCACAGCAGCAGATCGGTGATGACCTGATTGCCAAAGTGCTTCAGAATTGTGTTAAGGAAACCTCTTTTAGACTTGATAAACTCTAATACTTGTAGGCACACTGACTTATAAGAGAAATAATCTTGTTCGTTACGTTTTGATATGAGCATCCCGAACGTTTTGCAGAAGAACGACGTCAGCAGCGGATTGAGTGGCGGGTCCCGGTGCAGGAAACTGTACAGCTTGTTCAGAAAGTTCTGGTTCTCGACCAGGTGGTTCTTGAAGGACGGCACATCACTGGTAAGTATCTCGCACGCCATGTTGGAATGCATGAAGCGGACATTCTCCTCGAGATCATCCGGCGGTTCCTGGATGATCAAGTCTATCAGCTCGTCGAACACCTCTGTGCGGTTTAAGCTGCAATGGAGGAAGTGGTTAAACAATTTCACACACACAAGAGACCGTAATTCATCTTACTATTGAAGTAATTTTGTATTTTGAGATTTGCATTCCTGCAGCACGTCTTCGTAGTCCAGCACATCTTTGAGTGTGAGTCCCTGCAAAAGGCAAAAGAAAACGCAAATCAAACAGCGGTTAGTCATAATTTGCCTACATCTTAATTCACGTTGTTTATCATCATCATCATCATCATCAACCTCCTCATACAGATGTTGAAGTTGGCCCAGACTGTAGGGCATCATGCCAAGAAGGTGTGTTTCTATTCTATCCCGTTTTGCTGCAGTCCGGCAGCAGACCGACCACGCATCATAAAGCCCCCCCATCCAGCCAGACAGAGTCGCTCATTCGTCGTCTGTCTGCTGTTGCTGATGCTACTAAATATCTCTAACCCAACTCGGAGGACACGCTTTATTGCACAAACAAACACTTCATGTGTGAGCAGCAAGATCTTCCCTGCCGTTTTGGTGTGTTTCATTTTCAATTATACCTTCTAGGCTAATAACGGTGCTAGTCGTAGGCGTACCCAGACAAGGGAGAAAGGGATCAGGGTCGAGTTGATAGCCATATTGAACTGAGTACCATCGGAGAGGAAAAATCGAACTATTTGTTACCTTCAAGCGTACCAAAACAGAACTACCGCTTGAAAGCATTGTGACATAAACGCCAGAACCAAAATTCATCAGGATAAACTTAATAAAAAGTTGAACTATCCGGTTTGACTTCGGTCGATAGTTATAACCCTATTCGACATCCTCATAAGGCTTGTACTCGAAAAAAATGCACCATTTTTATCCGTGTGTAACTTTTTTATCCGTGGGTAAAAATTGATGAAAATCTGGGTATAACTAGTTTGGAGTGAATTGTTTACATGTGCAAAATTTCATAACAATCGGTTCAGTGGTTATTGAGATGTCATCGAAACTAGAAGAAATGGAAAATCCGACTGCGACCATGAGATGGATCGGAAGACAACTGGGAATTACCCATACAACTGTGTCTCGGGTGGTGAAATCGTTTAAGGAGTCCCAGACGACCGAGTGGCGGGCTGGAAGTGGACGAAAATCGAAGACAGCTGACCCTGTGAAGGCCCGAAAGGTGTTGGATTATTTCAAGCGTAATCCGAACCTTTCGATTCGCGACGCGGCTCTGAAGGCAAAGTGTTCCGCCTGGTTCGTTCAGCAAACCATGAAACGAGCTGGGCTTCGTGTATTCAAGGTCCGGAAGGCACCGAACCGGCGTGATCAACAAAACACGGCGGCCAAATCCCGCGCAAGGAAGCTGTATCGAGAGTGGTTAACGAAACCGATGCGTGTGGTTATGGGTGACGAAACCTACATCAAAGCAGACGCAAATCAGATACCGGGGCTGGAGTTCTACGTTGCCAAATCACGGTTTGATGTTCCGGAAGACATAAGAAAGAAGAAAGTGGACAAATTCGCCAAAAAACACTGGCTCTGGCAGGCCATATGCCAATGCGGTAAACTGAGTAAACCGTACATCACAATGGGTACCATCAACAGCGAAATTTACCGCACCGAGTGCCTCCAGAAGCGTCTGTTATCCTTCCTGCGGTCCCACGAAGACGAGACATTATTTTGGACGGACCTGGCATCATGCCATTACGCGCGATCGACGTTGGACTGGTACAGAGACAATAACGCCAACCCCTCAAATTCATTAGAGATTCGTCCGGTGGAAAGATTTAGGGCCATAATGAAGGCCAAAGTTCGAAAATCGTCCAAGGTGTTTAAGAACGAGCTCGAGTTGAAGAAAGAATGGATGAAAGTGACCAAAAAGGTCGGCTCCACCATTGCACAAAATGTAATGACGGGTCTTAAGGGAAAGGTGAGGGCTTTCAGCGATGGAAAGGAAATTGAATAAAGTAATTATGCCGAAACACAACCCATATGTATTAGTTCATTCCCTGAAAGTTTCAAGAAAATCCGACTTAAAATAAATTTTTGGTGAACACTTTTGTCTGGTGCATTTTTTTTCGAGTACAGGCCTTACAAGAAGATGTCAGGACAATTTCAATTTAATTGTTTGACATTTTATTCAACGAACGTCACTTTGCAACAAAATCGAGATTTCAAATCGAAATCTGAAATGAATTCAATGAATACTCGGAGAATCTTCCCAAAGGGTTTGTTATTGTGGAGAATTTCAAGGTAATTCCGAGGAAAACTAAAAGAACATTTAATTTTGAGGATAGCTTCAATGGAAATCTCCGTTGAATATGGAATGGATTATTTTGAGGTATTCAGAACCATTTGAAAGTTCTAAAAATTTCCCTGAAGTTAATGAAATTGCCTTGAAGTTCTTTTGTAGTTTGAAAACCTAGCCTGATGCTTTAAATACTTCTCAAATTATGAACTTTATAGGACTTCATAAAGTTTCCTCAATTTTTCTAACGAATTCACTGAAGTTCTCTAAACTTCTTAAAAATGTATGTGACTTCTCTAATGTTGATGGAACTGCTCTAAGTTTCTCTGTTCTTTTCTGAAATTCTCAAAACTTCTCTAAAGTTTTTGCAGTTTCAACTCCTTATTTATTTATTTATTTAGGGTTTGTTTGTTCAGATGGATGTTCACATCAACATACCATTTTGGCCCTAATGATGTTTTACTTAAGGCTAACATTCATAAGTTAAGTGGTAAAAGAAAAACATAAAACAAACTAAACACTCACTGGACACTAATAATAATAATAATTATAATAATAATAATATGGCGAGGAAGGGTGCGATAACCTAGCTATTTAGCACTGTAATGGAGGAAATGCCATTTACAAACCCGTAGCTTCCGGGAAAGAAGCAACACCAACATGGAGTTGAGATCAAGAAGATTAAGACCAATGCGATCGCCCGAGGAGGGAGCCCCTACTGGAGCTGGTCCTGGGACGGGGGACAGAGCGAGCGGCCAGCGGCTGGAGGAAGATGAGGTGCAAGAGCGGCCCTTCAGTCAACGGGTTCAGCCCGTAACTCACACGCGAGACCGAACAGGCAGCGAATAGACAACACCAAGGCAATGCAGCACCTGCTAATGATGCTGTGGTTGACCGGCGTCAATCGCTCACTTTAGCAGGCCGCCAAAGGTAGCGGATCATATGGACGAGGGAGATGAACCAGTACGTGATGCGCTGCTACTACGTTTCCACGAGGTTGGAGACGGATATGTCCGTCAGATCAAGGATGCTGGATATGTTCAATGAGCGGTTCCCTCGAATGGTCGGTTCCGGACCAGCTTGACCGGAACAATTTGTATACTAGGCAACGAGCAATCATGTCACACAACTTGCTCCCACCGCCCGAGGTAGAGTGCATCAAGCTGGAAGTGCGGAGGGAAGGGAATGGATCGAGCGATACGTCGAGAAGGAGTTTTGTTGGGCTGAATGCATCACTTGCGAGTGAGAGACGTGAGTCGATTGCAGCGGTAAACACGTCAACGGAGGAGCCAACCGCTCCTGGACAAGTAGTAGACCAGCAACGACAGCAACTACGGGATGAGCTAGCTTTTAGCCGACTAACGAGTGCAGTAAGCATTCTCAACGAGAATATTTTGCCACAGCACTTGGAAGCCGCTGAGAACCTTGACGACCTGCAGTTCATAGTGTACTGTGCAGCTATGGCCGTGGTACAAACGTTGGGATTGCGGACGTACCCGCAAGGAAACATCGAAAGTCGTAACGCACAAAAACCCGCATAGATGCGACGCCTGGAGGGCCGAGTCGTCGCACTTCGGACTAGGATTGGTCAGTTGACACAGTACAAGAGGGGAAACCGATCATCGAGGCTAGTTCGTCACGTTGCTGAAATTGTCAAGCCTGCAGAGCTCCATGACCTCACTGAAGCCGATATTACTGAGGTGCTCGACACGCATGTACAGCGGTTGAGTGCTCTTGCTAAACGGATGCGACGTTATGGAGAAAGTTCGAAGCGGAAGAAAGAAAATCGAATGTTCAGCACTAACGAAAGGGAGTTCTACAACCACATCCGTAACAACAAAACCGACTATAGTGAAGGACTCCCGGAGATTGGCGATGTAACGCAGTTTTGCGCCGATCTGTGGGAGAATCCTGCTCAACATAACAGTGATGGGATGTGGTTGGCAGAGGAAGAGGTAGGAGTAATGGAATTGTAAGTATTCCCACGGTCATTGTAACCGCTCAGGATATTCGGGAGGCTACCCGGTATACCAGGATTTGGGCTGCACCAGGACCAGGTTTTGTGCATAACTTCTGGTATAAAAAGTTCACCTCAATCCATGGGCGGATGGCGGAATGCTTCAATATGGTACTAGAAAACCCCCAACAGCTACCAGAATTCATTACCAGAGGGGTAGCCTATCTTCTGCCCAAGGACCAAAACACGGCTAATCCAGCCAAGTACAGGCCAATAACATGTCTCTTGAGCCTGTACAAAGTGCCCCAGTAGTAATAAATCGGAAGATACAGAACCATTGCAATGTTAACAACGTTATGGCCGAAAAACAGAAGGGCTGCCTACATCGACTACAAGAAGGCGTACGACTCAGTACCGCATTCGTACCTTCTCAAGGTACTGCAGTTGTACAAGGTGGACGCAATGGGAATGTGGAGCACATCTCTCCACGTTACTGACGGAGCAGTGGTGTTACGGTCCAGAACTCTCAGCATAAGAGGGAGGATTTTCCAAGGCGATACCTTTAGTCCACTATGGTTCTGCCTTGCGATGAACCCCCTCAGCAGAGCACTCAATCAATGCAACTATGGCTACCATTTGAAAAGTGAAGGAAGAAGCACAAATGTTACCCACACCTTCTACATGGATGACTTGAAGCTGTTTGCGGAAACAGTGGAGAAGCTTCACCGTCTCTTACAGCTTGTAACGGTGTTCAGTAATGACATCCGGATGGAGTTTGGAGTCGATAAATGTCGAACAGTCAATATCCGTCGGGATCAAGTAGTGGATACTGGCAGTTTCCGCATCAACGAACAGGAGGAGATTCGGAATATGGTTGAAGGCGAAACCTACAAGTACCTGGGGTTCCTGCAACTGAAAGGGATTCGCCATACAACGATCAAGAAGGAGCTGCAGGAAAAGTGTCGTGTTCTGAGGTCG